ACCATATTTTTTAGATGTACTTCAACTAGTCGCATTTTACTTTTACTGTATGTTGATGATATGATTATTGATGTTGATGGAATTGCATATTTGAAATCAGAATTGTCTCATCGTTTTGAAATGAAAGACTTAGGTACATCATCTTATTTTTTAGGGTTCAAAGTTGTTTCTTTTCCTAGAGATTATCTTATCTCTCAATCCAAGTGTGCTAAGAATGTTATTGAGCATGCTCATCTTACTAATACTCCTCTTGAATTCGAAACTCGATATTCACCATTTGACGATGTACCTTTGACTGATCCCACTTTATATTGCACTATTATTGGATGTCTAGTTTATTTTACAATCACATATCCCGATATTGCTTAAGCTATTCATGTTGTTAGTCAGTTTGTTTCAACTCCTACTATAGTTCATTGGGCAGCTATTGTTCTTATTTTGCACTATCTTCATGCTACTTGCTTTCAGAGTTTTTTATTTTTATCTACCTCCTCTTTAGTGCTTCGTGCCTACTCTGATGCTGATTGGGCTAGTAACTCCTCCGACGCAAGTCTACTACTGGCTTTTGTATCTTTTTGGGTGATTCCCTTATTTCTTGAAAAATTAATAAACATACTATTGTTTTCCGTTCCTCTACTGAGGCAGAGTATTGAGCTATAGCATCCATTACCACTGAGGTTGTGTGGTTGTATTGGTTACTTGCATACATAGGTGTCCTTTTATCTTCTCTAACTCCTATGTATTGTGATAATCACAGTGCTATTCAGATCTCTCACAACTTTATATTTCATGAGTGCACGAAGCATATTGAGATTGTCTGTCATCTGGTTCTCCATTATCTGTAGAATGACACTGTTTTTCTAGCTTTTGTTTCTTCATTGTTGCAACTTGCTGACTTCTTTACGAAGTCTCAGCTAGTTCATTGTTTTCACTTCTTGTTTGACAAACTCTCGCTACTTCTAGTTGTAGCATCGTGAGTTTGTGGGCAGATGTTAGTCTTATATAGCATCTTTTAATTTATGCATAATATTATTTAGTTTCCTTCTAAGGTAAGTTTCCTTGTTTGTTTACACTT